CTTGGAGTCTGAGGTCCTTCCCCTACGGTTCTGGAAGACTCTACCTCAGGCATTCAGCCCTGCAAAACTCATCAAAATCATTGTGATTTTTGACATTCTGTGATAGCACAAATTCGTCATAGAATTGTGTTACATGTTATATAAGGGAAGGAGACTTCAATTAGATGATGCCTTTGCCCTCGTTAGATGGCTGTGTTACAAAATAGAAGGTGCTTGTTTCATTTTTTACTTTCTAAAACTTTTTCTTTCTCTTCTGATCCCTACCCCACACTGGGGATCAGACCCAGGGGAAGAGGCTCTACCAAAGACCTCTAGCTCCAGCCGATCTTCGTTTCAAAGAGGGCCTTGCTAAACTGCCCAGGTTAGCCTTGAACTTGAGACCCTCTGGCCTCAGCCTCCCTAGTAGTTGGGATTATAGACACGTGCTATTGTATCTGGCCCTAGGATATTTAACATGTCAAAGTTCTCCTCAACCTTCATCGAGCAGCTTTCAAGCATTATTTTCAAGCATTATTAGATTTATTCATTCAGCCCTTGTATGTAATACAAGGCGTCTTTTCAGAGTGCTAATGATTGAATGAAGGAACAGATCTTGTTTGAGTAGATTTGATTTACCTAGACGTTCCCAGAGTTCCTTTAGCTCCAGATTCTTTGAGAAGCTCACACACAGCGAGCTGGGGAGATAGCTCAGTAGGATAAGCACTTGCCTGGCAAGTGGAAGGGCCTGAGTTCAATCCCTGTTTCCACCAAAAAAATAAAAAAATAAAAATAAATAAAAAATAAAATCACACACATCAAAGTTGAACTAAGAGATAATTCTCATTGCAAATAGACTAACAAAAATTTATTATAATGAACTTATAAATAGTGAGGCACTCTTCTGGATGAGATTTCACAAATTTACACACAACTACCTAAGAGTAGTTTTTGGTGCATAGCATGAACACCTATGGTACTATTTTACCAACAACCATGGTTAAACCACGTTGTTTAGAACCCAAAAATAGTCCACTGTCGGTGGGTAAGCGCTAGGAGAAAGCCTGCTGTTACGGTAGCCCTTTTCTTTCTGAAGATGAAAAACTGAAGCTAACTTTAAGGGTTAAAATGCTCCCTGTTAAGTCCAATTCCGTCCAATCAGATATTGCAGTTGTTCCAAAAATAATGCCAGCATCACCACATCTCTTTTTTAATTTCTTTGACTTCTGTCAAAAGTAGAGGTAAAGTAATATATTTGCAATCAACATGACAGGTCTCTGCAGATAATTTGGACAAAAGATGAAAACTTCCCCAGCCAAGTTCTTTCCTCAATGGCCTGAGGTACAGAGATTAGAATTGGCAGACTTCAAGCAGCAGTAAAGGAAGAAAAGAAGTAAAATAAACATGGCTTTTATTTTTTGTGCCTTAAACCAAGCTGACTGCCCATCTCAGTCTCTAATATGCATTGCACTATATTCTTAATTTTTTATATCAACTTCATAAGCTTGACTTTTTCGTGTCTGTTGGACCCTTTTCAACATCTCCCTGCTGTACTGTACTCCAGATCAACTCTGATCATTTGTTTCAGATACACTTCCTTTGCATACGCCAAACATCCAATTGAAGTTGTCTTTAAAAAAAAAAAAAAAAATGTATTGAGTACAGGATCTACAGAGTCTCACCATGCAGATCGGGTTTGTAGTGATCCTTCCTGTTTTTCAGCCTCCCAAAGTGCTGGGATTACAACAGGTGCCCGC